TTAGATATCGTAGAATTCCTTACCGATTGTGTCACCCATAGGCTGTAACTTCAATGAATCGGGCTGATTGGCGTTGTCGCTAGTGACTTCCATCATGTAAACATTCTTGTGATCGTTCCCTATTCCTCGCTGCATCTCTTCCGTCTCGTCATCAGATTCTTGCTCCTGTTTGATACGCGTTGTTCTTATTGTACAGCGTGCCTTCGCCATTCGTTCCTCAGCAGGTACCAGCGTGATGTTCTCCGGATCCTCTGAGATATTTTCCTCCATCTCTGGATTTTCAGAAGTCATTCCTGCTTGTCAATTAACAATGATACATATATATGAACAAAATATTTATATTAAAAATTAAAGTAGGATAAGGCTCTAATAATATAAATCAGTCAAGAAAATGGTGACCTTAAGAGCCAAACACAGGGTGATCAAAAATCTTGTGTTTAACTCCTAAAGACACCATTTTCTTAACTGATAAATATTTATAAACATTTTTTAATCATTTCCTATTAAAGATATTAAGGCGATGCTGGAGAGGCGGCTGAACTTAATTGATTAAAAGCGGCATTCAAAAATATAATATTTCTTGGAAACCTGTTAACTTTTTTCAAGAGGAGACTTTTTTTAAATTTTTACACAGGTTCTGTAAGGAAAGCACCTATACAGTTTAAAACAAAGGCCTCTCTTAGAAATCAAGTTTAACCTATTCATGACTGCAATGTAATGAAATAAACTTCTTAACAATAACACACCCAGAATGTAGCCGCCAACAAGTTCCTCCTCTGTCACCTCGATAGGATCTCCATCCATCTGACCACTGTTGCCTTCCGTTGAAACCAAATCAGCTAACAGTTGCTTAACTTGTTTGGATTTTCCCGTTGATTCTTGAGACTCGTCCTTACTGCTATCCTGGTTCTCGCCTTCTTCATCCTGTCCAGTCAATTGTTGTATCAACTTCATATGCTTTCTAAGCTTGGTGTCTGCAGCCTGGCACTTCTTTCTAAACTGATAGGATTTTTCCAACTGATATTTGCAGGGATGACATATCATATTAGGCAGGCCATCTTGCTCAAAAACCTAAAACATTGATATCAAGATCTTCAGTTTATTAACTTGAATTGTTATATATTAATAAAATTAATGGAGCTTAACTAATAATTAAAGATGTATGTCAGCACCTAGCTAGTCAAATGACCATCTACATTCAATAAATTTCAAAATAATTAAATAGTTATTATTAAATTACAAAATATGATTTTTAACGCTACTGTCATATTTGATTTTCAGTTTGCTACTTACTTCTAATAAAATTATTAACTAATTTTGAAGAAATTAATTCATAAAATGAGGTAAAGAAGCTCTGTTGATTTCCAGTATCAACCTAAATTTGCATTTCTAATTTTTTTTTTATTAGTAGAATTAGAAGTATACTACGTGTAATACATTATATACATATAATATATTAATAAGTATCAGCATTACTTCTTTAAAAAGGAAGTTATACTGTTGCAAAGACTAAATTATATTATGAATAAAATTTGGCGACATTGCACTAAATAATGAGGTTGGTCATCTTGACTTGTAATCAGTACTGATCGGTGCAGTATACCATTGCACTCCAGGCCACGTTTTGATAACTCAATATTTTGTTTAATAAATATTTATTATTATTATTATTACTATAGTTTTTAATAAATATTGTTTATATTATATATATATTTTTTTTAACACAGACGTTTCCGTAATTTTGGTACTAAACTGGAAATTTTGGTTTTAGTATAAAATAACGATATATTTAGTAGGAATAGTGGCGATTCACATTAGATTAAATTTGACGTTATAGATTTAATAATCCTCTATCTGTCTCGCGCGCGCGCGCGTGTGTGTATGTGTGTGTGCGTGCGTGTGTGTGTGTGCGCGCGCGCGCGCAAGTAATTATCATATATACATCAAAACAATAAAATACCTGAGTCAATAAATAAAGAAATCCAAAATTAACGTGACGATTGATATTTGTAGCATTACATTACAAATTATAAATTTTAATAATATTAAGAGTTGTAATAGTTTTTTTATTATAATTTCTCCTTAAAGAGAGTGTGAGTAAAACTTTGTTTTTCGTTCATCCCTATACACATTACTTCCTTATATCTAAATATTATTCTCATAAAATAATTTCTAAATGTTTATGTAATAAATTTCATCGAGTATCATTATTGTAACGAATATAATGAATAAACGATACAAAATATAAATTTTTTTATTGTACAAACATTTAGAAATTATTTTATTATTAAGTGTATTTTAAAATTATTATATTATGAAAATGATAAGCAAATAAGATATTAAAGCGTAAAACCGAAAATAACTTTAAGAGAATAATCTTGAGAACACTTCAAAGAATTTAGTAACAATCAAAATTTAACAAAATTCTTTCTCCAACAGTCGAACATATCAAATCGGAATGTGAAGAAGCTCGAGTCTCTTTTGAAGTTCATGTGCCATCGAGAGAAGTCGCCGCTCGAAGAGGACGACGCGTCTTGAGAAGAGTTACGATTCCCCATTAGCCGCGCATTCATTTAACGAACGAACAGCGAACGCGAATATTCGCGAACATTCGTTGTTTGTGAACAGTTTATTCTTTTTCTCGATTGTACATAATACTAGCATTCGATTAGATTCGACGTTCGTTGCACATAGCAATTTAATAGCAAACTTTTACATAAAAAATAATACAAACTTTTGCGTTCGCCGTTCGTTCACCAAGTGCACGTATATACGAGTTTAAAGAAGCTCTGTTGTAAATTACATCTGGACGGTACAAGTCCGACGCGTCCTAACATTACAGATCTCTATAAATCCGTAGAGTAAATGGACTTGTCCCACCATGCCGGTTCTAGGTCTCTGTAATAAGGAAGCGCGCGTGAAAGGGATACCGCTGTGTGGCGAGAGTTCGTCGATAACTCGGTAAGGCCGGTACCCAGTACTTGCGAAGCCGCATGCAACATCGATTGCCTGTACAGCCATCGCGTGTATGCATTTACGTACACATGTATACGTCGAGCGGCACGGTGTGACGTAGCTATATCGTGGACCGCGATTGCGCGCGTTGTGTATGTGTGTGTCATATACGCCAATCGAAGAACGCGGCGAAGAGGGGAGATAATTCGAGAAGACGCCGTGTGCGCGAAGAGATAAACTAGATTCCTATTTTTCACTGAGCAGCTCTGAGCTCTCCGCCCGGTCGCTGATTATCCCCCGAACGTGGCAACGACGACGACGACGACGACGTTATTGCTCGACCAGTGGTCTGCGTCATCGGATTCCGCGCGAAGAACTCTCGTTCTTCTCCTCTCCCCGACCCACCTCGATATTGACGCAGGAGAGTATCCGCAGCGGCATCGGCACAGTCTCGTCGTCGTAGATCGGCACCATCTCCTCCTCCTTCGCCAGGCAGAGCCGACACAGCTCGTTGACATGGATGATCACGTTGCTCGAGCTGTCGCCCTTTTTCCTGCTGTACGTTTTCATCGTGCGCCCTTTCCAGCCGTGGGTGTCCACACTTCGTTGGATCCTATCTATTCTCTACTCCGATACTCTCTTTCCCACCTTCCCACGCTCGATCAATCCGCCTTCTGCGCTCTCTCCTTTTTCGAATTTGCAGCAGCCAAGTGTACGATCGGAGCGTATAACGCCGTAACGATGAAAAACGCAACGGAGAAGCCGCAATCGGCCAACGGACTCGGTCACACACAACGGAATCTATAATGGCGGTCGTCCTCAATGGCGGGCGCGATGGCAGACTGCAGCGCTACGCGTTTCGACAGACGAAACTTCACGTATAGGTATATGATCGGACGCGCGCGCGCTACGCGAGAGAGAGATGCGCGATCCGGGCGAGCACGAGAGCGCGAACGAAAAAAAAAAAAAGGAAACTCTAAAGCCTGTCGAATGACGGCAGAAATCAGTAGAAACACCGCCGGAGGAGAAACGTCGGAAGTATAAAATCGAATAAATGGGTTTTGCCGTTGCCGTGAGCGCGAAAGTCGGTAAGGGCGATTACGATTATTGATCTCTCGTATTCTTCCCAGCCGCGGGAAATATATGCCCTGGCGGGGCCCCCTGCGCCCAGCCTCTCTTCGGCGGGAAAAATAGACTGTCCCGATAAACGGGATAGTAATCCAACGCTGAAAAAATTGCACGTGAAATTGTAAGAATCATATAGCGGTCAGGTGATTTTAATGTACGAGTTATTCCGCGTGATGCGAATTAGTCATTTCTCAGAAATTTTTTAAGTTCTGCACGTAAACAGTATCTCTAGAAAATCAAATTTTGTGCCAAGGGATTTTTTTTCATTGCTAAATTAATATTGTAAATTTTTAGTTTACGATATTACTAAGAAACAACATAAAATAAAAATATATAAAAGTATAAAATAATATATCGAACGTTTCGAAACTCACAGGTCCTTCTTCAGCGATTTATAAAGATGTTTCGATGTCAACGATCGAGATAAACGCATTATCTTACGATCAAAGCGACGTGGCGTGGTATTGTACTGGTATGACAATTTCTTTGAAGAGAAATGATTTTCCTGTTTTTCTGTGAATGTAGAAATTGTGTCTAAATTGAGAAATTCACTGTTGTCGGTATAATACAAAGATATAGTCAAAGGATAAGATAAAAATATAAGTCAATTAAATGTAGATTGTCAATTACGTCAATTAATTATATTTATTTGGAAATTCAAATTGAATTTCTTACTTAACAAAACGTACGAAAACATCATTACTTGTTCGTCTGATTCTGTTAAGCGCAAGTGTTATAATGGTGACAGACGGACTCGAATGGTAATATTCTACAATGTGCTCCTGTTTCTTGCTGTTTATCTCTTGCCTTTTGGTCAAAAGGCAAGAATGGGCAAGAGACAAAAAGCAAGAAACAGGAAACAAAGAACATATTGTAGAATTATTATTAGGGCAGTGGAAACTATATTTATTTGTTTTATACTTTTTTTAATAGATAACCGCAATGTAAGAGTCGTCTAGTCTAGACTATCCGTATCTTTTTGCCTTTGTTTTGCTTTTTAATGTGTAACATTATTTCTGCGATAATTTTTCGCAATAACAAAATTAATTATTTACAGTTTTTAATAGGTTATTTAACATTATTAAGATTGATGTAAAATGCGTAAACAGCATCAATAATCGTTAAATTATCGTTATTAGTCAATTTAACTCGGTATAGATATTACTGCGGTAGTATATAGTTTATTAGTGTTACGTTTCAAGTCTGAAAAAATTTCGGCGCGCAATCGAAGAATTACATATACGTAGTATATAAATTCACACTCAATTATTTAGAAGCACCCGTGATCCAGCTTAGACCGCTGTGGTATTGTCTCATTCGGTTTAAAAAATAATTAATTTTTATTGTTTATAACACATAAAAAATTGGGAACTAAATGAATTGTACATATATTTAACAATTTTATTTTGTAATGTTTTCAAGCGGAAAAGCTATCGGCACTTGTTATGAACCTGTTTCGGAAATGAAACTTAAAATATCTTTGAATATATAAATGGATGTTTTAATCCCTTGTAGAAATAAGTACTACTGAGCACTAGGAGTATTTTGAGGCACTACTGTACTACAGCACTACTCAGCACTACTGTACTCCATTAAATAACCATTTCTAAACAATTTTCAAAAAATGGGGTGCTAACTTCTCATCGAATTTCGAGATCGAATAGTTCTGAGCGGCTTAATAGCTTCATTTTGCGAATACCTAGAGTTCCTGATACATAAAAAACATTTTTGAAAAATAACTAAACTTAAAAAAAATATTAATCAACTCAGAACTACGGAATTTCAAAGTTGGGGTTCTAACTTTACACACGCTCCAACAAACAGAGAAAAAATATTAAAGATGTAACTTTTCACGTATAACTTAGGATGCGTTCCATTTCATGCATGATGCGCAAATGTATCATTTATTCTTGTTGCTCACCACGTGTTAAACAAAGACAATTGACGTGCATTATGGGCATTATGCGAGAAACGGAAAACACCTTTAGTGACATATACAGAGTGATTCAAAATAACGTTTCTCCTTAAAATGTCATATTCCTATAATCTAATTTTAAAACGATTTTTCCTTTGCCAAAATTTTGTTCAAAGCCTAATTTTCAAATTATACAAAATATATAGCGAATAACGGGGTGCATAGAGAAGATAACCAAACGTATATCTTTATCAAGACATCAGGAATAAATAAGCAAAATCGAAAAAAAATCTTTTGATCTATTTAGTGCTCATTTTGTGCTAATTTGTGCTACAAAAACAATTTTGTATTATATGTTATGTAAAAGAAACGCGTGACTAAATTAGCTTAACATCAAGTTGACAGAACCATAAGAAAAAAAAACAAAATAAGCAAGAGATCTGAGTAATACTCATTTTATATTAATTAATTTGTGCTATTAAAGAAAAGAGTTAATATTTATATTGATCAAGAAATAATCTCTAATTGAACTGCAAACATTAGACTTTAAAGTAAAGTACCCTTTACGACGAGCAAAATCAGTCGCTACTTTCACAACAGAAGCAATATAATTTGTGTCGCTAAAATATGAAGTTTCAGATGTTGTGCTTCTGCCATTCCTTCGAAAACTACACCTGGGGCTTAAAAGTAAAGAATGTATCTTCGCCACGAATGGAATTTTATTACTCGCGAAAATGTAAAAGAGGATTCAATAAAGTGCTTAAAAAAAAAAGAGAGCTCGAGAGATCCACCGAATACAACGAGCATTAAAGAGGGAGAGAAACAGAGCATCTCGGGGATCGAAAATAACCGCGGCGGAGGAAGGTGTCGAGGGAATCGTACATGATTTCGGCAGTTCCGGGTGATGGAGGGGACCGACGACAGTTGTCTTCTACGGCTCTCCGGTGCTTTCGCTTTTTCGAGGATCCAGTGTGTTTCGCCACCCGAGGAGAACCCGCGTGCTCCACGTACATTCAGCGCGAAGGTAAGTGCGGCGTTTCTTGTTGATTCACGTTGAAATCTTCGTAATCAATCACGTGGAAAATAAAGATACGGGAGATCAGATGAAACAGAAAATCGCGAGGAAACAAATGGAAGAGACATTAGAACGAAACGAAAACGTAAAAAAGAAATCGAAACGCAGGTGATGCAGAGAGAAGTGTAAACAATTCATTGAAAAATGTGGCAGAATTGTATATAGGCGTGGAAAAAAAAAAACAATTAAATGATGTAGAAATTCAAAATATGGAAACTTGAGGGTATCAAAAAATAAACAGAAAATCTCGAACGAATAAATGAATAAACGTCTATATTTTTTTATAACACATGTAATTAGCAGCTTATACAATTATAGTTTGGAAAAAAAACTCAATGATTTATTATATATTCTCTCTCTTTTCCATAAATCCTTTGAGATTGATCGATCATACTGCCTTTCTCTCTTTCTATTATTGCAAAGTAACTGGCAAGGTAATCGACTTAATTACCATCTTGGCATTAACTATTTAATCGTCAACAGAAATGATTAATTCTTCTAATAATGATCTACAATGAGATTGATTTAATTGCTGGCTCCTTTTTTTCTTCAGTTTTTCGATAATTTATGACTCTAATTATATTATATTTCGCACGTAATATATCTTCATATATAAATTATATCTTTACCTAATTAATATATAAGTATTAATATAAATATTATCTTTACATAATTAATTCTTAAAATCAAGCAGTACGTTATAAACACTAGTAAATGAAGTATATAAAGCACAGTGATTATTTATATCATGAAGAAATTGTTTATATCGCTTCAGTCATTCTCGAATTAAACTACGGATGAGTCAGCAAGATGTATTGTCTAATTGTAAGAGGCAAATTCGCGCGCGCACGCGTTTAGCTAAATAACCTGTGTGATGTCCCATCAATACATATTCTATCAGTATGCCGCGACTTGCAGATGAAGATGGTGATTGAAATTTACACGACAACGCTCTCTCAACGCGACATCCTGTCTATTCACATTGCGCTTTAAACCATCGCATGTGAATTCGTCACAACACATCGAACGGGCCAAAAATTGTTATATGCATCCTGCCGTTGAAACAATCGGCCAAAAATAGGCGATACGTCACGCGTCATACCGACGAATCAATCCCGCAAAATGCGCAAAATTTATCTTTTCACGAAATTTGTTTGAAACTCTGCGAGAAAGTGGATTAAATTAACGAGTGACTATTAAATCGGTTTTATTACGAAACTAAAGGTGTAAAAGTGTATTAAATTTTAATACAAATTTATTTGAGTGCCGACTAAATATCTATTTACGATAAATAAATATTTGCTTAATAAAAAAATGTTAAATTAAATTTTTTGTTAAATGTTAAATATGAAATTAATAGTTCAAAATAAACTTATCTTTGTTTTAGTGAATATTTAGTTAGTACTATTTAAATAAAAAAATTTAATAAAATTTAGAATATTTTTTTCATAATGTAGATTTTGATAGTTTTATAGTAAATTATTTAAGAAGCTAAATTTAAATCAGTTTTATCAGAATTATAATTAAAAATCTTGATGAAACTGAATGTAACAGAATAATTAGAAAAATCTGAAGTATACAAAGTCAATTAAACTGTTATTTATAATTATTTAACATTAATTATAATTTTTATTATAATTAAAGGGCCTCATGTAACAAATAACTGACCTACATTTTATAAAAACAGAGTAAATTAACTCTAAATTTAAAATGATTAAAAAAATGTGCAGTATCATATGTTTGGCTATGTGGTTCAGTTCCATGTAACATTAATATTATCATATTATATATCAATATACATTAAATTATATCATTTACTTTGTTGCAGCAAGTCCTTCAATTTCATTTCTAAGGAATCATATACAGCGCGTTATCATAATTTATTTAATATCTTATAATAGCGGTCAAATATCGGCGTTTATTGATCCATACTTACTCCTCCATGAGGAATGATCGAGAATCTCGAGGAATCTATATTATTACTATTATATCGCGCGTATTAACATACGATTTTTTCTGGAATCTGGCATAGTGTACGCGCAAAGTGAAAAACTGGTCGAAGTGGATTTCGACGCGGTTGAGCAAAATCTGCCGTCGCGTCGTCCAAATGCCGCAGCTTGGAATAGATGCGAGTTATGTAAAGAAAATCAGTTGGTTCTCGTGGATTCCGGCAGACAAGGAAAGCAGTTATCCCCTGTGCATTTTCACAAATTTGCGAGAAAAAACTTTGCTTTAAGCGTTTATGCAGTTTGCACAACGTTAAATTTAAATCTTTCAACAATCTCAACATTTAGCGATTTTAATATTTAAGGCTGCAGATTTCACATTTAAAAAATATCTTATTAAAAATGGACGAATTAAAAGATTATATCAATCAGAAGTTCGGTTATCTCAACCAAAATTTAATAATTTTGATTCGCTTATTTTCAATCAGTATTCCAATTAATTCAATCAGACATTTTTTTCATAGTCATTTTTTCTCTATCAGTGTAACTTAATATTTAAATTTCGGTTCAATTAACTCTTGTTTCCAGTTCTAAAAATTAGAAAAATAATTTATAATCTGGTTTTATATTTATATATATTAAATACATATCTTTACGTCGATCAATTTGTATGACGGCTTTAATACGCATCAATGCATTCTGTGCGTCCGATCGTGCTATTACTGTTTATCTTTTTCTAATTCTCAAAATTCTATCGATTAGAATTTGAATATTAAAGTTTATTTCGACGAAAGATATGACCAATCAATCCTTCGGTGTTTATTTCAAAACTCGCGTGGCAATTTACGTGATTCTTATTAACAAGAAAAAAACACTGCGAGGAATTCGTCAACAAGCTTGGCATTGATTGATGAGAGCATCGGTTAATACGTGTTATTGTTAGATCGACATCGATGTCGGTCATTTTTTTTATCGCAGCGTACAAATTTTAATGTAATTCAATACGACCCGCGAGAAACGTGCTCCAAAAACTATAGGAGGGGGAAGAAGTAGAGATTTTGCGGACGATGTGTAGATATATTCGGAGGAATTTTGTAGGCAAAAATAACCGCAGTAGGCACCGGTGGCCGCCCAACAGGGACGCGTCAATGAGAATCTGAGATTTTCGGATGTTCAATTAGGTCTGTATTTTATCCAGGTACTAATCGAACGTAATCGAATGAAAAAAGAGGAAAACGCGCTGCTCATTGTTCACTTTTTGAAGATTTGTTTTTTAAATTAAATAAAATGTGATGTAATTGCTGTTAAAATAATAAACAAGCATTCTTAGAAGCTTCTCAGCAGGATTAAATTTAATTTATAAAAATATGACAAACATTTATTGTCAATTTCTTTGGGAAATAAGAATAACGGTATAACACGTGCAATTGTTTTGAAAATTTATTGTCGCAAGTACGATTTTGCATAAAAGTATCTTACAATTAAATTATATGAGATACTTAGCGAAAAAGAAGAAACACGAGAACAGCACTTTCGTGTTTATGACTAGAGGATATAAATACATTCCAAGTTATGAATAAAATGTGAAACGCGTATGAGATTGCAAGGAAAATGCTTTAAAAATAGATTGTTGCAATTCTACGAGGAGAAGTATTTAATAAAACGTATTCGATTTGTCTCTTAAAAAAAAGAAACAAGACATTTATAGCAAATATCAAGTATCAAGAAAAGAGTGGGCGTACATAGTCCTATTTAAAAAAGCGTTCGCGATCTTGATTGAACAGGGAGCCTTGAAGAAAAATTTTGCCACAATGGTTCTTGAGAATCATTTAATTCGTCTTTAATTGGACTTTGATGAAAGAAAATAAAGAACTCAAAATTCCATAGCTGATTGTGAAGATTGATTTATTAAAAAATGGAGTAATTGATTAAGAAACTTTAGGTATGTATGGTACAACAAATAATTTTACTTATTACTATTATTGTTCTGATTGTCAGAACTCATATTGTCAACATTTTGTGTGTTTAATTTACCATGTATCATTTTTTTAATTCTTTTATTTATGCAGTTGAAGATTAGAGATAGAGGACAGCAATTTTGTAGAAGTATATTTATCCCTAATTCCATGTTTTTTTTTTTATGAAAAGTGGGATGAGAGAGAAGGATTGCTCTGTCTACTAAATTGCAAACAGACAATTTTGTGAGAAATAGAATGATTGGAAAAAAAGATAGGTATCTGCCTGAAAAAGTTTTTTTATGGAACCAATCTATAATGATTTTATTATCTTCAACTGTTAAAAAAAAGTCCATGAAGCTCAAAGATCTATTATTTTCAATTAGTGAGGGGGACAGTGGAAGGCGGAGGCGATTCGAAAATCGGCCGAAAGTTACATACACTTTATGTATGTTCACTTTGTACTGGCATCTTTAATTATAATAATATATCAGTTACTTTTCATGGTAATTATTATTATTAGATAAAAAGGTTTGAATTTTTAAGTATCTCCTTTTTTGAACATGGCTTGAACTTTTTATTTTTATGATATTATTTTTTTCGGATATTATTTACTTTAAAACTTAAACATATAATTGTTACTATATCTTTTTCTCTGTGTGTATATATTATGGACAAGAAATACGGCTTATCTTTCTCTCTTTTGTCCACATTGAACGCGCTATCTTTCAACGTGTGCGTCCCTACACGAATTTCTTGGCACGAGACCAGAAATTTAATACACACTTTCTAATAAGCCATAGAATCCGTTGATTGCATCTCACGGAATTGAATAGCCAAACGCAATCACTGAATGATGTTGAACGATAGCTCGTGGCCCACTTACCAAAATTGTTTTTGCTCTTCAGGTTCATACAACTTACGATCGAGTAGAGTAAATAATTAAATTGAAGTATACATGTCAAAGCAGAGAATTGCTCGGTTTGTCACGTAAATTCGTCTCTATCGCATCATGACAAGTTAATGATCATAATTCTTCACGACTATTTAATAAGTAGTTTTATATATTATTACTCCTATTGTTTTATTATATATTTAATATGATTTAACATTGTTGACAATCTCTTTACCGAAAAAAAATTTAACATCAATTATAGATGCTCTCTTTTCATTTTCTATTTAAAGTTTGGATGTATTACATAAATTTTAGTATCTAATAATTAATACCAAATTACTTTTTAATAAATATAGACACTAAAACCTAGGCTTCTAAAATATTAGGCATCTTGTGTATCGTTTCCTTTTTACAATTATATTCTTTTGTTACAGTATAAACGCGAGAGATTAATTAAGGCACCAACATGACTACGCAGAAAGCGAGATTTGTAAACAAACAGTTCAACTCTCCTATCAATTTGTATTCGCCTCAGGCGATACAGGAAACTCTGGATAGACAAACTCAAGTTTTGGCTAACGGTGCAGTCGGGTAAGTTGTGCCAAATAAAAGAATAAATAAGGTAATCTTAATATAATTAAGATTATAAAGTGAAACTGTAAGTTAGAACTAGTGGTATAGCAATAAAGTTTAGTAAATGTTATGAGAAAATAAACATTACTTAATTAACATAAATGATCTTATTGTCCAAATTACTTAGTCCCCTCCTAGAGACAATATATTACTGACAATATTTATTCAGCTTACACACGTTCATGAAGTTTCCGCATCTGCACGAACATTATCGACAGTGTATTGTCTCTAGAAGGAATTACTTTGAAAGACAGTGAAGGTTTGCATAATAATTAAGTGGTGTGCGTGTACGAGCGTGCATATTCACTTTCTCCTGACATTCCCCGAATTTTATTACCATGTAAACAAAGAAATAGTATATGCATGTGTCTTTTTTCCCTCGTAATAGGATTTTGATAAAACCGCGATGAAATTCTGCTATAAAGTCTTCACTTCAACCTAAATACCCTTGACCTATTCCGAAATAATTCAGATCCCGCAAGTGAATCGTCAATTGACTTGGATGACAGACAAGCGAAACCACGTGGCGAATTTGAACTTGGGCCCGGCGACCACCTTGCGTCAATCATCAGCTAGTGGTTCACGTCATGCAATCGTTTGTGTATCGGCCGATGTCAATTGGTTCGCGCGACGACGCCGATTGCATGAATCAGCCGTCGGCGTCGATTCCGTTCAGTTATTTTCGGCGGACTGAATCTTCGGCCGTTTGGAAATAAACAGCCTGCGCGGAACCGACGCGATGGCTCGCACCACTGCGTCTCGTCTTGGTACTGTTAGTTTTGCGTTTGATGGACCGTAGATCCGCGCCAGTTCTGTCTCTGTGAAGTTAGCACCTCATTATCAAAAATTGAAAATTTTGATAACAGTTCTGCTTGCACCCTCAATAGTTCTACAGTTCCTGAATCCTGAGTAGTACCAACCATTAAATATTTTTAAATAAATTTTTAGTATAAGAGCTAGTCTCTCAGTTTTCAAAATAATTAATCTTTATTTCGCCGTTTTTTTTTTGTATTGTAAAAAGTTATACAGCTCTTGATAAGTTTTAGTGACACTACCGGCCTTTTAAATATGTTTAAACAATTTTTTAATTCAAACGCTGACACCGAATGTCAAGAGTAAATTACATCTAGAAAGACAGTCCTGGCAGATTTCGGCTTTTTCCGAAAGTTCTACAATAATTTGAAAGATTTACGCAGGTTTCGACCGAAGTACTAATCGTTTAATATGATCATTAAACAGCTTTTTAAACCATGCGATGGTACCGCACGTCAAGAGCAAAGAACCTCTAAACATCAATTACATAGCTGACTCTTCGATCTTTTTGTGACAGTTCTACAACAGTTTCAAAAACTTATGCAGGTTTTCACCATAGTATTCATCGTTTAATATGTTTAAACCACTTTTTAATCCGCGCGTTGGAACTTAACGTCAAGTGCAAAAGTTTCATTATAAATTTTTCTTTATACCATTTATTATAAGTATAACATTTGTAAAATTAAAACTTCATTCATTAATAAAATAGATTAAAAAATTACTTACAATTTTTCTTTTATTTTCACGGATTTCACATGAATTACAGAATCAACCCCCTAGAATGGACTACTGATAGCAGTGGTCGAGGTTACACTCTTTCTATCCCCATTACTGCCAGCAGTCCATTCTAAATGTCGATGGTCACACTGTATATAACGAACAAATTTGGTTGTCTTTTTTATCATAATCTCAAGGAGCTCGGATATAACACATTTGTGAATCTCAAAACACACGTATTATGTATATTTGTAGATTATTATTATATATATAAATATATATGTATATAATATCTATTTAATTTAATTTGGATTGCAAATAATATCCGTATTATGTTAACATATAATATATAGGTGCATTGCTTTTTGATTCAATATTAGTAAAATTTTTTTGTAGTTTTATGAACAGCATTCAAAATACTATTAGCAAGCCGAGCTTATAGAAATATCTCTCTCTCGATCCTTTCAGGATCGACTTCAGTCAGTTGGCCAAACCAGCGAACTTGCAGAACAGCGCGGTTCTACGTATGCTCGAAGAAGAAGAAATGAGACAGCGCGGTGATCAACCCGGTAAGTAAAGAATTGTCTCTTCAAAATTTACATATTCCTAAAAAGTGTAATTTAAGATTAGAAAGATCATAATATTTTTTTATGTCCACAATTTAATTATATGTCCAAGTTTAATAATATATATGTCTAAGTTTAATTATAATAGTATATAATAATAGTATATTATAATTAAACCGATAATACGCTTGTTTTCCTGCTGGATTGCTAGTTGGATCAGTATCTTGCTATTGTATTGATTGCGATGTTAACAATGCAGCATTGCAACCAATACAATAGCTAAAATCTAGTCCAGTTACCACAAGCTACAATGATTTTCTTTTTTTTTCTATAGGAAAATTGATATCGTGTAAAAACAAATATTGGCTTTAGGTCGATCTGTTTTATTCAAACGCGTACAATTCATGCAATAAAGTGTATTGTCTGAGCCTTAAGGGATCTTAAACTCATCTGTTTTATTGTTCCATTAAGGTCAATTAATTATACACATACGAATATACGATATTTATGAGTCATTGTATATATATAATTTCATATGCATTTTAATATATATACATACTTATTTAAAAAATAATTGATTAAATAGACGACTTTAGATTCCCCTTAGAGCTTTAAGAACGATGATGAGTCACAGATACAAATATTATCAGTCATAAATCACCTAGTCTAGGGCAACATCAGCTCTTTGAGTTAATGTCGCTATCATTGGCAACACGTTTTCGATTTAGCATGACATAACCATTATTCTTTGGCCACAGTTCAAAGGCGCGAGTTCACCAGATTAACAACGTGTTTTCGCAAAATACACGAGCACCTCAGTCCACCAAACACCGTATACATTGTTTTCGAGAAAGACTCTTTTTGTGAAATACGCCGCATTGATTCGCCTCCCAAAAGTTGACCTCAATTAGAGCAGAGAATTATTGTATTCTAATGTCGCTATAATAACCGAAGTTTAACTTATTTCTTGTTTCTTTCTAATTCTAGAATTGAAAAAAAAAAGATAAAAATAAGTTAAACCTCTATTAAGAGTTAACCATGCGGTGTAAAACTGGATCTAAGGTAGATAAGGAATAAATTAAACTTCGGTTAAGAGGTAACCATGAGTTGTAAAACTGGGCGTTACTAATTTTAGAGTAGATGCTAAAGGCTAATTAATTAACAAGAGAAATATGACAATTGCGCTATCTAATTATAGTTGAGATGAGGTCGGTAACATAAAAAAAAATGTTGCATTATCAATGATTTTTCAGAAAAACAAATTTTGCACTCGCAATGCCACGGCGCGTCCGGTTAAGGATATAGCTTAAAGCCTTAAAGCTTATAGACTGTTAAAGAGCGTATAGATTATTAAATCGTCTACGATATGTACAGATCTCTCGAGATGTTTTTAATAATTCTTTTCAATACTGTTAAATCTAGTGTCAAATTTAACTTATTTAACATAATTGTAAGTCGCCACTGCTCAATTATATCATTATTTTATACTAAAACAATAGTTATTTTTGACACTATACAGTAGTATAGTATTTGAACTATACACATACAGAATCAAATTGACACGATATAGTATCAAAATTAACTATCATTTTAGTATAAAATAAATAATATATTTAGTAAAAACAGTGGCGAATTAAATTAAGTTAAATTTCATATATATATTATAGACTTAAAAGAAAAGGACGCTCCCACTCTAATCGGGCACAATGTCAAGCCCCACTCTTTGGCTGGTCACCAGAAAAGTTCTAAAATCGGTAGCTAGCTAGTTTCCGCGATAATGAAAGGTACAGGTAACTTTGCATAACGTTAGTAGTTGGCGGGTATCCGTTTTGGCAGAGTCGTGTTCTTGATCGCTGTGGCGGCTGAATCAGCGAGTTCGCTGGGAATCGTATCGGTATGTGGACGCACAGAATCCAGGTGGATTTATTAATTCCCAGGAAACATACGTTCGTATTTTGCGCGATTATATATATACCATATATGTATATATATATATACATATATATATATATATATATATATAACGATGCACGACCCCATATGGATATAGTAATATTCAGCAGCCCGGCGACATGCTCGCGGTGCGCGCGATCGATAATATACGTATAATACGAGAGCTGCGTAATACAATTAAATTAAAATTTTTGTGTGAATAAAGTTGGATCAAGTGTGTCATTGATGAAAATCGATGACGATGGTCCGATGACAATAAAAAATCACGATTAAATAAATATACGCGATATTGGTGATTGACGACGTCAGTGACATGACAGATAAATGAGTGACTTTTTTTATCGTCTATTTATCGAAATCAATCTTGCTTTACAATTTTAGAATGAGAAATTTGGTAGTACGATATCAATTTTTTCTCAAATTTACATTAATTTACGTCAAAAATACTATTTTTACTTTCTCGTTTAACACTAGAAGTCTTAACGTTTCTTACTCTTAAATAAACACCAAGCGAATAAATTATTGCTTATGGGAAAATAAAGAAAGTAATAAAAAACCAAATATTTCAAAGGACATAATTATTGGAAAGTCAAAAAATTTCAGAATCTTATCTTTTATATACACAAGAAATAAAATTTTAATTATTTAAAATATAGAAATAGTCAATAATAATCGCTTAATACTTTTAATGTTAGAGTCTTATTTTTAAAGAGACTTTAACATAAAACATAATATCTGTGCATGTAATAATCCAAGCAAATTTATCTAAATCTAATTAATTAATACAGATATATTGTGATCATAAACTTAAGAAATCTCATAAAACGGATCTTTGCCAAACGAATCTTTGTCTATACAAAACTCTATTATTATCTTAGGTCTTAAACGAGTAGCTTGGCCACCGCCTCCAGAGGATCAAGACTTCGACTACATTGAACAAGCTCCCGTCCAAGCGAAGGTAATATAACAGATAATAAGATACGTGTGTACATAGTTTCGCGCTAAAAAATTAGGTTCGTTTTGTTCCATCATTACACACTGCTTCAATAAAACAAGAGGCAGTAATAAACAAAATTTGCAACTTTTTTTAAATAGCAATACAAATTAATTCACTGAAAGTGAAATGATGATAAAATATTGTGATAAGAAAAAAATTAATTGCATTATGATATAATATTTATTACAAAAATATTACATACAAAATTAAATATTGATCCATAAAGGTCTACTGTCTTTTCTTTTATTGGCGCAATTCTTTAAATACTTTAAAGTAAATTTCACTTCAATAAAATGAAATCTCACTTTAAAGAATTTAAAGAGAACATCATTTCGTATAGAGGAGATGAGGATATAGACGAGCATATAATGAAGCAATTAGATCATAACATTTTCAAGAATCTCCGAAAGGACACGGATATACTTTTGAATGTTTACTTGTTGCATTCTTTTTTCGTAATATTTTTTATCTCCATTTAGTGCGATAACTTCTCCTGCATCTTGCCATGCGTGTAGAGTGACTGCAACGATGTTACGTGTTTCTTTTATGTATTGTTCACGTTCGTTCTTCTCTGTGTACGCATATTAGTTTTCGGAGCAGAGATGGAGAACAAGTACGCAATATATAGCGCAAATTTCTAAGTTAAGTTAGCAATGTTGGCTAGCGTATTTTTTGATAAAATTGAAATTTATTTCAAGTAATTTTTTAAAATTGTCATTAAATCTTGGAATAATTATATTGCAAATAAAAAAAATCAACTGAAATATTATGTTTAATGACGGATAAAATAAAATTTTGTAAGAAATAGGAATCAAAGGTCCATAACGATTAAGTTGGATCTTTGCTACTCATAATATAATGTGATTTAATATATGTGTATATATATATATATAAGTCTATATATAAATTTATATATATATTTAAAAAATAACTACATATATATATATATATATGTGTATATATCATATTTGTAATTATTTTTTTAACTGCACGAAATTTTATCAGACTTAAAAACACAGCTAAACTGTCGAAATAATATCACAATTAAATTTTGATGCTTAATAAGCATTTGTTAGAGAGATTTTAATATAATAGAATTCTTTTAATATAATAAAAATCTGTAAATAAATTTACTTATTACGAAAAATATTACCTTCGCGGAAGTCGAACCCGTATCTCTTGCATTTCCTTGCGAAAAAGGCATTCAAGGCCTAGAATTGGATCTTTAATTCCTATTTCTCATATTGTTTAAATTTTTGTAACTTTTGTAACAATTATAATAATCAATATACATTATTGTTTTATTAAACGAAAAATCGATACGACATGTTCCATCTCTGACTCACACTCGTGCACGATTGTGAATATCGATATCGTTAGAAAATTTACTATACGAAGCGGCACCCGAATATCGTATTTCTTGAGCAAATCCGCCCATTGCGGTCGTCGAGGCAGGTCTACCGATTAATTATTTGCAGGAAGCAAAAAAAATTAAACGATTGTTGTCAAATTGGAGCACATCCTTTTTGATAAAACCGACGATGCTTGGCTCGAGCGAATCACGGTCAGATTTTGGAAAATTTTTAATCTGAATAATCGAGAACAATATGAATTAATTCGATTATAATTAAAAAAATCAATTTTCTACCCTCACTAGTACAGTTTGAATGTTCTACATAATTATTTTGATAATTGAATAACATTATTTTCTATATCTAACTAATTTGAATATACTTTAGCAACATTTTTTTTTCGGAAAAATATATTAATTTTACTTGTACACAAAAATATTTTTTTATCTAAATTCTTAATGATAATTCGAGATTTAATGATAACTATTATAATCTCTTTACTTTGATACTATTATCACTTATCAGATGGTCATTTTTTATACATCAATTCCATAAATCTCCTTTCCATTCTATTTATTCAAATTATCAGCTTCTAATTTTTTATTGTGCAAATAGTGTTAGTAACATTAATGACTTGAGAAACGTTCAGTATCGAAAAAAATGATTTAAATAATACGTTATAGATATATAAGAATGATATAGGTATCGCATTATTTCTCGCAAACCTTCGCATATCATCATCTCTCTCCTTTCTGAGACGATAGACACTATTTCATGCATTCGCTCGAGCCTACAAAATTATTTGTTTTCCTCTGGTAAGACCCGTGGGTACGGTGAATTCGGCTCATACCAGAGCAGTCCCTCGTCGGGTCCGTCACCCCAACCGTCCTCGACGGTCGCACGGTCATCGACACAGAGCGCCGTCCCGTCGTCCCCGTCACCGATTAGTCCTGGCGGCACGCTCCTGCGACAGCCCTCATACTTCCAACAACAGCAGACGAACCTCAGGAGCTGGGCGCCTGTGACACCTCCGGCAACCTCGCCACTCTCTCAACAGCATCCCCTATTTCCGAGCCAACAACAGCAACAGCAACAACAAATCCAGCCTTGGCAGGTAAGTGATGCTTGTATAAACGTGGCTGATGGTCAGTCCTCCGCAATTTTGAACAAACCCAGCCTTGGCAGGTAAGTGATGCTTGTATAAACGTGGCTGATGGTCAGTCCTCCGCAATTTTGGGAGAGGAACCGGTGATGAGAGCGGTAAGGAACGATGGCACGTGGCAATCGCTTGCGATCTTGGATGTAACGTCGTCGCTGTTGATGTTTATGCGAGAGATATATTATTAGTTATGCATGCTCCTCTTCCTCCCTGTTTCTCGCACTCAGAATCATGTACTCAGAATCATATGCGGCGTGAGACGATTTTAGTCAAGCGAGGATGATTTGCAGAATAGCAACTGGTACGATCGTAAATGTCTTCGCGTGGGTATGACACACTCACGACAGTGGGCGATCTTTATCACTATGTCCTTTGCATTTTTCCAGCAGCATCCCCAGGATCCGTACGACCGGACACCGCAGAGACAGCAGCAACAGCAGCAGCAGCAGCATAATCTATCTAATTATTATACACCCACCCCTGCGGTGTTCGAAGCACCACCCTCTACTATCGTCCTTCGTCCTGAGCCGCCTATCTCGCAGGTGAGAATTTAGTAATGAAAGCTTACAGGAAACTTACTTAAATGTCTTCACCAAATAATTACCCAAGAATAATTATCTAAAAATAATTATTATCACACTAAATCAAGAGAAAATTAAATATCTTCATTTTATCGTCATAAAAGTCAAAATGATGATTTTAAAATTGTTTATTGACATTAAGAATCAAAGTAATTTTAATTTTTTGTTGATTTTTATGTGTCCTTAGCTGAGTATTCATACAAAAGTCATAATAATATCATAAGAATACTATCTTATTTATTACTTAAAATAAATGTCCTAGTTTTTTTATCATTTATTAAAGAAGCAGTTATTAATAAGTATTTGTAAATATAATTCATAAAATAAATATTTTAAACAAATCATTGATGTATTATATCTGTATATATCAAAACTTTAGAGTCGTGTAATATTTATTAGTAAATAAAATTTATAATACAATGAGTTGAAGTATAGTATATTATATGATTGGCATTAATCTTTAATTATTTTAAGAACAAGTGATTTTTTTAGAATGAAAAAAGACCTTCTTAATCACTTTTTGAGAATAATATCTTACATTACGTTTGATATTATGTTACAACTCGCGTGCAACTATCATCCGGCCAAGAATAACGCGGTAAAATATTACGCGAGTTTCCGAAACGTCGCGTTTAATATCAGACGTGGGTTGTACGATGCGATACAATATTTTTGCGAGAATATTCGCGAGAGATTTCTAGCGAGAGCTGCCTTTGGCAGCATATCAGTCGTTAAATATACGTCGTCGTCATTCCGGCAGCATCGATTACATCTACCTTGTTCGAAACTTCTAAGAATATCCCTGAATATTTAAATGTTTCAAAATATCTAAATGTTTCTAATCTGATCCACGACTTCGAAATACATATAAATATAAAAGAATAATATACAATACAATTTTTACGTCACTATCCGAAAAGAACAGCCAAAATAAAGTCAAGATGATATCATATTGAGTGCAAGGAGATTGAACAACGCATATATATCTTTTAGTCTCTGTGAAGTTAACACCTCAACTTCAAAAATCGGAAATTTTGATAACAGTACTGTTTGCACCCGCAATAGTTCTACAGTTCCTGATAGGTCTTATTAATAGTACCGTTGTTTAGACCAAAATTTAAAAAAAATAAAAATATGCGGTGCTAACTTCGCGTGGTACCGCAAGATTCGAGAAAGTCGATTTTCTTGACGGAATCTTACAGTACTCGAGGAGTACTACAATTCCTGATCGATTGTAACAATAGTTCCGACGATTAAATATTTTTAAATAAATTTTAAAAAAAGTGCTAGCACCTCAAGTTTTGAAATAATTAATTTTTGTTACGCTATTTTTCTCTATTCGAAGAGTACTACAGTTCCTGATAAGTTTTTAGTGACACTACCGGTCTTTTTAATATGTTTAAACAATTTTTTAATCTTCGCGCTGGCACCGCACCTCAACAGTAAAGTACCTTTAAACAGCCACAGTACTGGCTGACTTTTTGGCTTTTCCCGACAATACTACAATAGTATCGAAATAAGGAAAGTAGCAAAAATTGAAAGCGTTAAAGTTGACGACTACTCAGATTAGGAAATCTGTCACATGGACATAGTGTAATGCTTGCGTTCGGGGCGGTGTAGCCGCTCCGAACAAAGAAAAAATAACATTCTAGAAGTTACAGCCTAAACAATGGGCATTATGAGCACGTTCAAGTTGATAAAGGCGGCTAGCCTGCTCGCTGAGCAAATGAACATAATTAATTATTACTTATCGGCAAGCGTACCTAGCCACTTTGCCGTCTTGAACTCGCTCAATATCCGCTTGGAATATTCCTAACCCATGAAGACTGTGGGGTGTGAGAATAGTCGTTTTAGAAGCAATAAAAACCCATTTGGAATTCGTAGTATGAGGACAGTATTTCTAATTCCGCGTAAGATTCAGATAAGTGCATATCAGTAATTATAATTTGACTTCCGCACTTCAAGAATCAATAAAAATGAGCTTTATAAATATTATCCTCATAGTATTTACTTGGGTGTTTTCAAAGCAGTAATATTTTGTGTTTTTGAAGCACGAAAATAAAAGTACGTACACACATAGCGCTCATATCAAGTCGAGATATAACAGATATTCTAATCTATGTCTTGCATTTTAACGCTTATAATAACTCGGTTCACAAGGCCGACCGCCGCAATTTTCTTACAAATTCTTTTGTTTTGAGTGAAAACGCGTCGAATGAGTATATTATTTTTATCAAGATTTAAGGGAGGGAGGGTTATTCTAAATAATTGCCCTTTTTCTTTTTACATCATGCATGCATAATTTATGAACCACGTTCACTTTTAACGGTACAATTTTATCAGCATGTCATAAGAATGAACGTGGTACGTGGTACATAGTTTCCGCAGCCGCAGTTCGAAAATGCAGGACGTTGGTGTCGCTAGTGTACGGGGGTTAGAATTGAGGGGTTGGATCCTATAAGGGGCGATACGCGTGGATTTCGCGGGATAAGTATTATCAGCAGGGCTAATTTTGGACATCGCTCTAATTTCAATTTTGACGACTGATTCTTATAGAAAATTTCATGGTGCATCTTTTTGGTCTGTAAATCAAATTTGTAAATTTTTTTGTTTTCAAGTTATAAAAACAAAAAAAGTAATTTTTTAAATAAAAAAAATTCAATAGATTTTTATGTTCAATTCACCATATCTCAGTCATAAATATGAATTTTTTTTTTTTGAAATTTTAACAGGATAAACTTCAATATGTTTCTTGAAATATAGACCATATAAAAAGTTTTCGAAACATTTTACCGCGCGCGGTTCAAATACCGCACAATGCTCGAGCGACATTTGATCTGCGCGCGGGGCGGTGTGGTGAGGGGGACAGCGGAAGGCGGAGGCGATTCGAAAATCGGCCGAAAGTTACATATACTTTATGTATGTTCAATTTGAACTGGCATCTTTAATTAATAATACAACAGTTACTTTTCGTGTTAATATATTATTATTATTAGATTAAAAGATTTACATTTTTGAGTATCTTTTTTTTTGAACATGGCTTGACCTTTTCATTTTTATGATTTAAAGTTTATCCTGTTAAAATTTCAAAGAAAAATATTCATATTTGGCTAAGATATGACGAGTTGATTATCAAAAATCTATTGAAATTTTTTCATTAAAAAAATTACTTTTTTTATTTGTATCTTGAAAACAAAAAAATCACAAATTTGATTTAAAGACAAAAAAGATGCGCTATGAAATTATCTTGAAACAAGAATCAGTCGTCAAAATTGAAATTAGAGCGATGTCCAAAATTAGCCCTACTGACAACACTTATCCCGCGAAATCCATGCGTATCCCCTTATAGAATCCAATCCCTCAATTATTAGAAGCATCGGACTGTGTTCGGAAATATTACGAGTACTTCCTTGTATCATCTTATTCTTATTTAACATTGAATGAATAACAAGGATGAGATGAAACTCGGAAAACCTAGATGATATTTCCGAACGCAGTCTTACAGGAAGAAGGCCGAGATGGGTATAGTTTCAGGTTTCTCTTTGGACTGCGTTCGGAAATATCATCCGAGTACCTCCGTGTATAGTCTTACCCTTGTTTAACATAGAATGAACAACAAGGATAAGACGATACTAGAAGAAACCTTCCGAACGTAGGCTTGGCTTTATTGATTTACAGGCACCAGCGATGGTATACCAGGCCCAACCCGCAGCAACGAAAGCTCCAACAACAGGCAATATGCGAGGAGATATGAAATGGCCACCGGCATCCGTGAAAGCCCAGGTCGAGGCGGAGAACCGTGCCAGGATGGAGCTCGCAAAGGGCCCTGCTTTCAGGCCTCGTCGAGTGCACAAGGACTATAGCGGTTTTTTCGCGCAACACGCCCTAAACAGCAGCTACCCGGGCTATCGAGCACCTCCGGGCACCCAGTACTTCACTCCGACTTATCAGCATTAGCAATCAGTATTCCGTTTCCAAGCAACGCATTCGAGCACAAGGTGTCGTCCTGAGTCTCTCATCGATTGGGATGCTCAGGACGCTGTTTGCGAATCTTAACGAAAATCGCAAAAAAGCCAAAGAAATATATATAAGAACTAATTTCTTCGTGAATAGAAGAAACACGACTGTAAAAAAAATTCGACGCAGAATTTCATCCTGCAACATAATTTCGTCTTTCCATTTTTTTTTTTTTTTTCCATTTAGAAGTCACGTTTCTATGCACGTATATTATTGTGCTGCAGCCCTTTCAGAATGTAATTCAATTAATATTAAAAAGAAATTCCACTTCATGCGTTTCTCAGATTTTTAGAGACTTTCGATCTGGATTTCGAGCTTCAACGAACCTGTATTCTGTATTATATACAGAAACTGAACGATTGTCTTTCATCTTTGCAGGATAGCGTAAACTAATAACAATAATTAATTATCGAAAACATTTTACAGCATTCGGTTTATTATTCAAACATCGTTCAGAGTTCTCACACTTGTGAGCGTCGCGTTCTTCTATTTTTAATCTGAAAATATAAGAACTTATTTGTCATTACTAATGTATTTATTTGTTTAAAACATTTATTTTATTTTTTCACGCGAGAAACTGCTTTCTTCGAATCTAAAAATTCCTTTTTGTACGAAGACATCTTCGGTTTGGGAATTTCTGATCTAGATGGACTCAATGTTGTGATAGAATTAACGCTGCGCGCGCGCGCGAACAGATTTCACAGATTTACAAGACTAACGCTTGCCATACGAATCGCAAGAGTGGCGGATCGCAAAGAATAATGTAGCAGCAGATTGTGCTTTTTACTGCGAAGGCCATGACGATATGGAAAAAATAACGATCATCGAATACAAATAAAAATCCACGAAATAAACGATCGAATCATACAATCGGAATACAAAATAATGTATTCGGAAAAAAAGTAATATGTATCGAATCACTGAAATGCGACGCATTAAGCAGACAGTGCGACTTGGCAACGATCTGCCCGTTGACTAATTGACGAATAATTTTTAATAATGTAACAAATTGATGCGAATAAATAAATATTATAATTTATGCTAGGCAATATCCGGCAATTATTATTATAAACTATACTTAAAAATATAATAGGTATATATACATATTAAAATTTAATGAAATCTAGAATATACAAGAGATAAATAACAATTTTTATTTTTTTCTGTTTACTTCCGAGAATACAAAATACGTGTTATCTAATTGTAAGTAACAATTTACAAAATCTTTTCTATACCAAGTTTTGTAAAAAAAAAAAATGTAGCTCGAAAGGGCAATTTAAGTCGTCTAAATCACTCTCCAAAAAGTGCATGGCAATAAAACCAAAAATATTTGATTATTAAAAAATGCTTCTTTCAGCAATGTTATTTTATCACTATAACGTCATGTGTATGTGTGTCATGTGAAGTTACTGTACTAATTTGACATATATATATGTATATATTTGTTTCTATAATACATCTTAAATCCTTACATATATATATGGCAAGCCCAAAAATATACTCTGAAATTAACATGTTCTACAGAAAATATTAAATATGTCTTTTAAAAGTTATGGAATTTATCTGCTTTGTAGCGCGTAAAAAAGAATTCTTATTAAACTAGGTAACTTTCCTTGAGTATCATTCTCTCTTGACTATTTCAAGTACATTTATAAATTAACATTATGCATTTCTTTCTCCTCACAGTTAATCGATAACTTTTTATATATAGCACGTATTAACTTTAAAATTTCTTTGTAACAAATATTGCACACGCGATATAGATGTAATATTCTACAATTATTTTACATATAAAATTTACACTAATAATTATTATAATTGACGTTAACATTCAATTTCATTTTTATTTCGTATTACACTTTAACAAGAATGAATATTAAACATTTGTCAGAATGCATATCAAATAATATTATTAGTAAATTTTATATAATAAAAATTGATGTTACAATCAGTTAAATTTAAATCAAAAGCATGAGAGAAAGAAAGACATTTTTATTTTCAAATAGTCAAAACTTTAAGTTTTTTTTTTCATCGCATTTGCTTTATAATTCATTTATAGGTTATTATCATAATAAAAGACTATTAAATTTACACATTTTTCAATTCATTGTTGATTTATACATTTTATTATGTAATTAATTATTGAACCTGTTTAGATGCTTCACGGTCTCACACGAGCGAGAATCCTTGATTATGTTGGATAGCTTGCAACAATTTATATTTCAATCTTTCGCGAGTTTGATATCGCGGTAGATCAAGAAGATTAAAACACGTATGTGCAGCCGGTAAAAAACGTTCATCAGTCATTGGCTGTATCGTTATCTGTAACAAAAATAACAAATAGAATATTAATTTTTTTTTACAAACACATTCTATCTCTCTTTGTACATAAGACTATATATTCTACAGTTTACAATATGTCACTCTCTTACTTTAATAGCTTTCATGCCCTGTATAGGTATTCTGTCACTGCCCGTTAAAAAAAGTAGAAATTTCTTCTTCTCCTCCAATGGCAATTCATGAAAGACCTGCCAGAAGAGCATAATAGTAGGATGGTTTTTGGAATAGCAGTCCTTATAAGTGGCATTGTTCTCCAATTCTTCCCAATCATAATTCTCATTGCCGATGAGAAGTGACATCAATTCGTGACTACGAAATAGCTCTAGCACTCTTCCGCCGCATACATTATGAAAACCTTTATGAAACGCTTTAAATTGCGTTTCTATCGATTTGTTTAATATATAATCCACGTAAAGGTCAACGTATTGTTGCCTGCAAACAAAAGCTTTTTGCTTTCCTTTTCGTCTTCTTCTTCTTCTATTATCATTATCGATGTCGATATACATGCAATGTTTACGTACTTATTTTTTAATGTTACAGGAATTTTATCACCGCCAGGTATCAATTCGAAGTTTTTCAGCTCACCAAACACTTCTCTACTTATCTCGAAGCTCAAACCGAATACTTCTTCAAAATCCAATTCGTTGTATTCGAGAATACTTCCTAAACTTCTGCAATATATATATTCAATTGATAATTAATTTAATATGATAAATAACTTATACTATTTTGGGATGAACGAAATACCTAGCTATTGTTGGTGACATTTCCTTGATATCACTTAGCCCGACCGATTCTCCCAAAAGTTTTTTATACATAACCAATGGAAATGGTAAATTGATAATTATAAAATTGTAAATGGCCAAGCCGCAGAGAACACCGATTAGATAATACATGACTTCTTCTTCTAATGAATCCGAACTGAACCAGATTGTTCTTGTCTCTTCGTATTCTTTGAACATACCGTACTTAAAATCGAGAATCTCTGTAAAGAGAAGCATAAAAAACTCTTTTCTCACGCCACCCACATCTTCAGCCTCTTCATCACGGAATTTAACCTGAAAGAATTTGAATGCGCGCTGTAACTACATGCTATTATCCACTGCTAGTAAGGAACTTATACACGGTATAAGATTTAGAATATTTATAACTCTAGCTATTCACTGAGTTTCAGAACTTTTCTGTTTCTTTGAACTTGCATGCATATACCTCAAAGCTTCTTAATTCTGTCGACTTTTACACATTATAGACTTGTTCCTTAATCAATTCTCCATCGATTGAAAAAAAAGTAATTGAAATATCTATTTTTACGGAAATTACGGTAATAAATATGGATGGGATTGCAGAGACCCGAATACATATATCGAGTATGTATACCAAAAAACCAATGTGTATGGCTAGGATAAGATTTCTTTTAAAATTTAATATTGAATTTAATAAATTCAAAACATTTATCAGTACATATATCGAGTATGTATACCAAAAAACCAATGTATATGGCTAGGATAAGATTTCTTTTAAAATTTAATATTGAATTTAATAAATTCAAAACATTTATCTAATTATCTTTAAAAAGAAGTTCGAAGCTTTTGATACTTACTCTAAGTGGTCTCTTTAACTCGTTAGAATCGTACTTCAGCAGTTGATCCAGAGTGTCGTTGACTATGTTATTCCGTGACACGTGTAATATTACAAATTGACTATATTGTTGAAAGTTTAGGCTAGGTGTCCCGAACATTATATCTCTTACAACTCGTGACGCTGCTTCATTCATCGCGGATTGCATCTAATATAAATATAGCTTATTGCACAATGCATACGATTTTTTTTAAATGGATTCTTTCTTTATACCTGTATAGATTGATCGGTTTCAAGCAACTTTGTTTTCGCCTCGGCATCAAACAGAAAAGGATAATTGCAGAAGTATATTTTACGATACTAAAAAATTATAAAAATTATATTACTAGCCGCGCAACACAGACTTTTGCATTATGCGTAATGTACAGTGCACAAGAAAATCAACCAATCAAAGTTTCTTTTTTTCATGAAATAGAAGAAAGGATTTTGGTTGATTGATTCACTTATGCATTATGCATTATGTATTATGCAAAAACCAGTGCTACAGCCTTATATGTACACTGCAAAAAATACGACGTGTTACTTAATTCACCGCATAAATTACACAGAGCAATGAAAATTTAGAATCACTTACGAAAGATCGATCTTCTTCTGTCAGCCATTTGCAGTATTCACGAGCAATGTCTGTATATTCCGATAATTCTGACAAGTGGAAGGTCTCGTGAGGTACTCGTATACCGGCTATGATATTTAGTTTATATAATAGCCCTAATAGTTGTAGAGCACATTGAAGGCTTTCAGTCCACATGATGGTCTGCAAAACATATTTTCTAAAAATATCATATAAAAGAAATCTGTATCTTTTTCTAAAACAAAATTTTCATATACTGTGTATCTTAAATATACAAATTTTTTTTGGTAAAGGTGCAATCTATCCCGATCACCTCAAAAATCGATGAAATTATACTCATTTTTTTAATACTGACTTTTTTTTACAGTTAAAACAAGAACTAGTTATAAAACAGTCTTAATTGCTAAACTTATAGTACAAACACATAGAAAAGTCCAAAAAATTTATGAAAATTTTAAATCTTTTCTTTCAAAACACTTGATTCGCTTGTCATTTATATGAACATTTCTGCGCGCAATTTACTTTATTTGCCGTCGACTGTTTCACATAGTGCAGCACCACAGACTTATACATTCTCACGAGTCTCTCGAAGTAGTACGGAGGAGCTGAGCTCCACCACATGCCTACTATCTTACAAGCCTCAGCCTTCAATTTTAATACCGCCTTGCAGAATGGCGTTTGTAGAGAGCTGTAGTTAGATAGATTTGCGAAGCGATGATATAGCGGTAACGTTAAGTACACTCTTAAGGACTCCACATCGGGCGGAGAGTCGACAAACGATGGTATCAAACTGTCAGTTACGCATGTGAAAATCTGAAATAAAAACGTCACCACATTTAGAGATAAATCAATATTTTATATGTATATTAAGATGATCGACTCCTTAAAAAAGCAAAGGGGAACATTAAATAATTCAATATTAATTATCATAATTAACTTTTAATAAATTATCATTTTTTAAATAATTATTAACAAAATACGTAAACAATATTATATTATTATATTTATAAATAAGTAAATAAACACTTAATGTGTATAATCACATGAGATTACAATAAAAATTACGTCAAGTTATGAAAGATAACATTTTATTTTTTTAAATTATATTTTTCTGTTAAATGTATCTTATAATACATTTAATAGAAAAGTAAAATGTATTGAATATCAGCATTGTTTTATCAGCAATTAGATTAATGTTTGCTGCATATAACAATTAAACTTGTGTGCAAAATAATAATGCAATAAAATAATAAATTTTTTCATTTGATGTTAATTTGTAGGTATATACCCATTTATATACGTACCAATTCTTGAATCGTGTTGTTGTCCAGTTCTGAAATAATTCCAAATAATCTGATCGCATAATCAATATTGACCCCATGATGCTTACTTGAACATCCATAATGCGCATCATTACTGAGCAAGAAAGACGCATTTATACACGCTTGACTTTTGAATACAGTTTCTAGATACCTGAAAAATACCGCATAAAGTCTATGCGATAACTGAAACTATGGCAAAATCGATCAGATTCATTAGATTAGATCTATTGAAACGTTATGATTCAGGAACAATCAAGAAACGAAGAAAAAAACGTGAGCAAATACGTGCGTATCTAATTTCTGTGTTAGGTTGTATAATTTTTATTTAATAGATATATATATATATATATCACTGTAAGAATTTGGGAAGTCGGTCCTAATATTCTAAAGTCACTTGGTTCTACATTATCCTGTAGATATATTTAAGTAAAAATAATTTTTCATATTTTATTACAGAAATGATGCAAAAATAAATATTCAATTGCATTCTATTTTCCTTTTCTCAAAGGAAAAATTGCTAATATAAATTTAAAACTTTCGGAAATAAATTAATAAAAACCATAAAAGCGTGAGTAATAGAGGAAAACACACTTTTTTGTGACTGATCGTAACAAAACAATGATCGCCTCCACTGAAGATCTGCTTAACAACACAATCGATTTGAGGACTGTAAGGTAGGTCAAGCATCACTGATGATCCACTTGGTGAAGACCAAGATCCTAAAACCACTTGTGGTGTTGTAGCACTCTGAGAAGAACGATTGCCTAATTGTCCAGCGCCTCCTAAACCCCATGCATAAACTCTCCCTCTAGACGGTACTAAAGCCAATGTATGCCTTTTACCACAAGATATCTGTACAATAAAATGTTAATATTATTAATATATAAAATTAATTCTTGTAAGTGGTTACGAATATAAAACAAAAAGCATACAGCCATAACGCCGGATCTTGTTGGCAAAAGTTATTTATTTTGAAAGAAGTATACAAAAACAACCTAAACGTTTCTGTCTATTTTAGACCATCATCAGTAGTTAATATAATTTAATACAGTATTTGTTATAAAAATGTTATCGATTTCTTACGTTGTCAATGTCTTACGTTGTCGATGTCTTATGTTGTCGAAATAATTCCTTTTTTAATCCTATTTTAATTCGTTGGCAATTAATAATCGTCGTTTATTTGTTCAAATAATTATGTCAATTTAATTTGACCTATATATAATGCACAAGACTTCCAGATATTATATCAAATATTTTTAATGACAATAAGAGTTATTTTTCAAAATCCGGCCAATTGATTCGGTAACACTTCAAAAATAATTAATTAATAACTTCAAAAATAATTCGGGTCATTTAACCAAGAGTAACCATCGTGTGTGATTTTTTTTTAAGTGTGACCATGAAGGGTTAATAAATATATATAAATTGTGTAAAATAAATGAGATTAATGTAATGTCACTATAGTGTAAGATTACGTTTTAATCACGTACATAATTGTAAGACAATATTATTCAAAATCGATGAGAACATGCCGTAGCGGTCTAAACTGGATCTCGGATGCTTCTATATACATAATGATGTGTGTGAATAATTTTATATACTACGTATGTAGATTTTTTATTGCGCTCTGAAATTTTTTAAGACTTGAAATGCAACATTACTAAACTATCGCAGTAATATCATGAGTTAAATTGACTAACGATTTTTGATGCTGTTTGCGCATCTCAGATCGATCTTGATAAAATTGAATGACCTATTCAAATCTGTAAATAATTAATTTTTTATTACAAAAACAATATTATTTTGTAAATTATAACTTACTTGTGTTACCGTGCTACCCATCAGCTCCATAACTTGCCGAGGTAAAATTTCATTTGTGATATTTCCGTGGCCTAATTGACCATACATTCCAGCACCGCATGTAAACACTCCACCGTCCTGAAATAAAATCGTAGAAAGTTATTTTAGAATTCTCGAATTTCCAGAGTATTGTCCAATGGATAAATAAAATTTACCATTGTCAAAAACACTGAAAATTCTTCGCCGCATGCCGCATAGCATACTTTCGCGTTTCTCAGAGTACGTAGTTGACACGGTAAATTTTTTTGCTGTATATCATTTAGTCCCAATTGTCCAAAGGTATTTCTCCCCCATGAGAACACAGCTCCTGCGAAAAAACAACAAATTTTTCTTAATTCTATTGCTCATGGCCGAGGATGGCAACTTCTCTATATGTCTGTGGTGCGCACGCCAGTTGCAGTCATATAGGATTACAGTTTTATCGGTTCTGAACGAATTGATAGAGTTTCCAAGACAAGTATACTATTTGGTAGTTTGCCATTAATTTCCGAGAGGAACCACGCTTGCGCTCATATCGAACAACAAATACAGAGGTCTTATTCTAAAAATTATTGCATATGAAATCCTACAGTATACATTATGTATATTAGATTTTCATATGCAATATAGATTTAAGAATAAATCCTCTATTCACGTGAAGTCGAACGGTATATAATACGAATGCTTACCTGATTTTGATATAACTATAGTGTGATAACCGCCGCATGCGATAAATGCAATTGGTACAGCAGCTAAAGTAGAAATCCTTTTCGGTTTTATTTCAGTCGTCGTATGGGACCCTAATCCTAACTGTCCCTCTCTATTACTACCCCACGCATACAGCTCCCCGTCGTTAGTTAGAGCGATTGAATGCTCTACGCCACAAGCAATCTGCACTATCACATTTGCACCCAGTACTTTAACCATACGTGGAACACGCTCTGTACAATCGATGCTATTTAATCCTGTAAAACAATAAATATATAATTATTATATTTAGTAGCATTCTCTCTCAGAAAGAGAGAGAGAGAGAGAGAGAGAAAGAGAGAGAGAGAGAAAGAGAGAGAGAGAGAGAAAGAGAGAGAGAGAGAGAAAAAAAAATGTATATGTTACCTAGTTGACCATTCATATTACAACCCCAACTGAAAAGTTGTCCCCATTCATTCACAGCCAGAGTATGACAATTACCACACGCTATTTTTCTGAATACAAATGCGTCTAGGCCAGGTATCAGTTCTATGTAAAAAAGAAGTCAATATATTTTAACAAAATCGACAAAAAATTTTAGGAGATATTTAGATGTAACTCAACAAATAGAAAGTAGGGAATCCTGGCCATAACGGTCGAAGCTGGATCTTTTAATGCTTAACTAATTCAATGTGAATTTATATATATATATATATATTATGTTATATGTATGTACATGCATAATATACTATATTTGTAATCATATTCCGCACACCAAAATTTTTTTCTGATTTAAAAATGTAACTAAACTACTGAAATAACATCACAATTAAATTTTGGATGTTCAATAGGCATTTATTAGAGAGATCTTCATATTATGGAAATCTGTAAATAAATTTATTTATGTCCATTTCCACCAATGCAGATTAATTTTAATCTTAGTTCAATTTGCTCTTCATCTTTTTCTAATTCTAAAAATTAGAAAAAGATTAACAGAACGTTAAACCGAGATTAAAGTTAATCTGCATTGGTGGAAACAGGCATTATTGCAAAAAATATTACCTTAACCGGGAGTGAAATTTAGACCTCTCTTACATTCCCTGCGAGCATCTTAAGCCTTTAGACTATATTCTTTGCAATAATCAGTATATGTATGGAAACAATGTCTTGCCCTCGGCAACATAATATAAACAATAAGAATCTTATTGGATCATACATTTGGAACTCAACAAATAGTAGGGTAGAAAATCCTGGCCTAGATATTTAGATGGCACATTTAATTTAATTGAAAGTTCTTATTATACTCACGTAACCTTTTCCTCGCCTTCTCATGACCGAGCTGTCCATAGTCGTTATTACCACAGGAATAAACTTGACCATCTTTCGTAATAGCTACGGTATAATTTTCACCACACGCAACTGAAATTTAATTTTCGTTAGAACGTTCTCCTGATTTTTGTCTGGCTCTGCTTAAATTAAGATTTTTCAAGGGCCTTACTTTGTTCGACATTATTGACTTCTGCAAAATCCACTTCTCTCGGCAAAAAAATATTCTCATCCTCGATGCCACCCAAACCCAGCTCTCCGTGAATAGTGCTACCCCAGCAGAACATTCTGCAGTAGTTCTTGATCCGCTTCACTGCTAGATCACTCTCATCTGTCGAACACTTTCTCGAGCTGCCTGCCTATATCCACAAATATATAAATATATATAAATATATATAAAATTAATAGAATATTAAATTGATATCAAAGATATAAAAACACACTATTATTCCTAACATAAATATCTAACATAAACTTTTAATCTATAGGTCTGTTTTTTGTTCAGTTCATTTCTCCTGCTTTCCTCTCCAACGTGAAAAAAAAAGATAAAATGTGCAAGAAATTCCACTAAAAAAAAAAAACAGACCTCATTCTATACCACAAAAAAATTTACATATGTCACTTTTAACACAAACGTGTATTATTCATGCAGAGTGCTGTGAATTCAACCTTAAACAAAAATAAACAATTTTTTCTGTAATGATTTTATCAAATTTTAAATTATAATATAAGTACGATCCATGTACCTAACGATCCCACACAACAATCATTAATTGCTTAACAACTGAATAATTAACTTTTGCCATTTATATCTTCGATTTCCACTTGAAATTAATTTCCAAACGCGAGAGGAATCCCAGCCATCACGTATAGCGCCGGTTTATCTCTCTGCTCCGGATTTCGATAAACAAACGCTTCTCCCGGACAAATCAATTAGCAAAATAATTAACTCCGACTGACGCTTCTCTCTCGGCCGAGCAGCTAGACGTCGCGACGTGACTCTACGGACGGCCGTGGGTCCACGTGTTAAGTCTAGCATACCTAAAAAGAGGATACTGGCGGTCTCGCGCCGAGGATGAGACGGCTGAGTAAGAGAATTGGCGTTGTGACTAACCATATTTATCTATATCTCCTTGATTTTCGTGGCGCGCGAGCGCGCGCGCGTGGAGAAACATCAGGCTCGCGGACGGCACATGTGTTAGGTACGCGAAACGCGTGATCGCAATCAAAATAATCCTCCGCTCCGATCTCTCCGTCAAGGATGCCGGTACGTCCAAGTGTAATCGTCAAATGTATAATACTGAACGAAAATATCTTTTTAGTGCCCTTAACTGAACTGAACACGTCCGAGGGCTACCCGCGTGAATGTCGCGATTAACACGCGTGCCTCGACTCCGGCTGACTCGCGGCTGTGGCTAAGCAGAAACTGGCAGAAACCCTCGTGTCTTCACCGCGTGTCAAAGTCAGACTGAAACGAAAGTTAGGAAATGCGGTCAAGTGACGTCTACAACGAAATTTTACGGTACAGTCGCAATAGATGAAATAAGGAATAGGAAATTTCAATCTATAAGAAATCAGATACATCGGAATATCCTGTTTCTGAGATAGATTGAAATTTCCTATTTCTTATTCCTTCTATTGTGTCCGCACCCTTATGCCAGTTCCCACCAAATAAGATTAATCTCGGTTCCATTTTCTCTCTTGAATTTTTTCGAACTTTTAGAACTAGAAAAAGACGAAGAGCGAGTTGAACCAAGATTAATCAACATTGGTGGAAATGGGCATTAAAGGCGTCAAGCTCAAGCTTTTTTTAAGCCCATAAAAAAATTGATCAATCATAGTCAATTGTTCTCCACACATTCGACTGTGATTGGTCAATTCCTTACAGCTTGAGATTTAAAGCTTAAGCTTTACGCTTGAAAATCTCATTGTAGACGCTGCCTTAATAGAAGTTACAGTGGTTATAGGATCTTAAGTAGTAGAAAGTTAACCAATCCCGTTCGAATTTGAGAAGAATAATCGATTATGATTAGTCCTAACTGTCCCACAAATTTAAAAATCCTCCATAATTAAAATATAAGCAATAATATATAATCCAAACCGGGGCGATGTGTCGAATTCTCGGATCGAGAAGTGTGTAGCCAATAATTACACGTTGATTGGCTGATTGAAAATACATTTCTGAATCTAAGAATTAGGATCAAGCTACAGCACCGTAGACATGGGGCTTAACGCAGCACGGTCGAGAAGTTAGCTCGGGCACCTTCGTGAAACGCTTCGCGAAACGAATATGGTATTCTCGACCGAGCCTCCTCCGCCGCGCCTCGGGCTCATTGTTTCAAAAACGACAAAGAAAGAAATATATACAGAAGACGTTGGAAGGAGACGAGACGAATGATCTCTCGGAATCCCTCCTTCTTCACCTTCCCAAGGTCCTAGTCGCGAAATGTAAATGTAAACGGAATGACTTTGAAACAAGTTCGATTGTTCGCGATCGTTCGATGATCTCGTGACGTCGTCGATGATTCCAGAACGCGGGATGACATCGCGAAAGTGCGAAGTTTGCCGTTTTTCCTCTTCCCTCGTTTCTTCAATTTCTTTTTAACGACATTTTTGGGTACTTTCCACTTTTGGTGACACAAGTCGACGCAATTATATATCGTCACGCGTTCTATCTTTTGTTATTTATTATTAATTGTTAAGGCAGGAATGATATTTATGTTAACTGGCATCACACACAGCGTCCATTTCTATCAGGGCAGATTAACTATGTAATCGGTTCAACTTGTTTTCTATCCTTTTTTAATGTTTATTTCTATCGATGTAATTAACTTTAATTTCTTGCTGTTTCTTCTTACTAATTCTTATACCCGTTTTTACCGACTTAATTTTATAATCTCAATTAATTTTTTTAATTCTTATAATTCATTAAGAATTAGAAAAAGATGAATTAATTTTAATGTCAGTTTAATTTATCTTTAGAAAACAGAGACCCTGAAACAATCTGATCACAAGTAATTTTGCCAACAACAAACAAGAATGAGAAAGAAGGCCGATCTATAAAAATCGGAGCATAATGGAATATAAGGAGAAAATGAAAGAAATACACCCAGATAGCACATGATATTCTGATATTTTGTGAGAATATTTTATCATAAAATATATCCGACATTTCTATTTCCACTTATTTCTTGCTTGAGAGAAAGATCAAAATACCTTCAAAATATTCTCAGAATATCATCTCTGGGCATTCACGCTTCTGTCTTACTCTCCTCTCTTGTACATTCGAACCAGCGGCACACACGATGTATATTTTCTTGCTAGTTTGTTTGCATTCTAGTAAATTCTTAGCATTGCACCACACAGAGCGCAGAACTTTTAGGAATTCATTGTAAAATGCAAGTAACCGTATATAAGAAAACAACGCATCGTGTGCCACTGGTTTTACACTCCGATTTTCATTCTTGCCAGAGTATTGTGTTGAATGAGCGGAGCTTATTGGAAATTGTTGGGAAATCCAATCGTCCCTGAACTTCGTCCACGAACGTTCGATTAATATACCTTTAAAATCGGCGAGATCCGAACGGTTTACGTTTAGGTTATCACATCGTTGCAGATCGATGCACAGAGCACAGTTTAATTGTTGTGTGTCAGACGAGTAAACGAGAACGGGCGAGAACGAGGAAGATGCGATACGTCACTCGTATCGTTCGCATAACTCGAGGCTCTTCAAGTCCATTATTGTTATTGTTATGTGCGAGAACGCACCTGCACCTCACTTACATTTTTTAGAGGATTAATGTTCTCAGTAGACGTCCAAGCCTGGCCGGAAGATGAAACAGTATAGAGATCGACGTCACAGCGAGTGACAATCGCAACGTTTCTCTAAACTACTGACAGTACTGACACGACGACATGACGAGCGGTTAATCCACGGTAATAATCAGATACCGCATACAGTTTGATGTGCGCATGCAGCGGCGTGCATATACATACATAGATCTATATATATATTATATATAGCCTCCTACTCATGCGAGCGCAACCGGCCTGACAGCCACGAAAAAACCATAGTACAAGAATATGTATAGCAAAATAACCGGGCGGAAAATACTCAGAATATACTAATGAGTTATTATCAAAGAACGTCAACCCTAAAACAATTTTGTAAACAATAAGGAGAAACGCGGAAGTACGGATTTGAAAGACTGACAATTTTGTGCTGCATCGAAAATATTTAACACTACAGCACTACTGCGCTGGTATAGTAGTATATATAGTAGTGCTGAGTAGTGCTGGTAGTAGTGCCTCAAAATACTCCTAATGCTCGGTACTTTTCTACAAGGGAAAGGATAAAAATGTTTTTGCCATTATATACGCGTTCAATACACCATCAAAAATCCATTGTCCTTCAATTATACGACCTTATATTTTCTTTTGCCAACTTTTGCCTTTTGTCTAATTCCACAATGTGATCATATTTCCACAAATTGTTTTCTGTTTATCGAGAATCCATTATTAAAGTAATTAAAATTAGTTTCATATGAAATAAAATGATATAAAATAGAAAATATTTAAATACATATGTTATGAGTAATAAAATTTAGGATAACGGTCAATATAAATAAAGCTTGGATAATGCCTGCTTTATTAAAGCAGACATATTATTCAAGTTTTATTAAAACATTTATCTAAACTTAATGGAATAAACAAATTTGAATATAAATTATCACAAAACTATTAAGTTAGAAAATCGACTCATCAAGTTACAACTATTTTCAAATATAAATTATAACAATAAGTGACAGATAATTAATATGAGTCTACTGCTGGTTATTATTGGCGAATATCAATTTAGTCTTCCAAATTATGCCATATAGTCTCGTCCTGATGGATAACTATGTAATTTACGCTTCATGTTCATGTTTTATTAACGGAAAGTTTAAAGCTGAAAAAGATTTAAGTGCGGCGGGGTGAGAGTCACTTCGCGTAGAAAGTTGAATTGAAGTTCCAAGCAGAGGGAGATGTAGAATAGTACTTAATATCGTATAGCAGAAATAATACGTACGTTATTTTAGAAACTCTTTTTGTTAATAATTTTTTAACAAAGAACAAGCAACCGAGAAATTCTCACGTTGAGCCCTCGCTATAAAGGAGCCTACAGACCAGAGCGGCGCAGCGGTGAAGCGGCGAGCGATAGCCAATGAGAGCCATGCTTTTACGCAAAAGCCGCTCGCCGCTCTGGTCTGTAGGCTCCTTAAAAAGCTGTAGAGACCACATACATGTTCTGTAGGTACTTCTGTGGGCCACATGCTTCTGTGCACTCTTCTGCCCTCTGCAGAAGTGGATGTAAACTATACAACAATGGGCGCGTTCAGCGGACTCAACAGTTGAGTGAGCGCTCGCTGTTATTGGGGTATTCTTTTAGATCATCCAATCAGAATTTTAGATCTGAAAGAATACGCCAATAATAGCGAGCGCTCACTGTTATTGGTGTATTCTTTTAGATCATCCAATCAAATTTTAAATCTAGAAGAAAACATCAATAACAGCGAGCGCTCACTCAACTGTTGAGTCTGCTGAACGTGGCCATTGACGACCATCGGATTCGGAACACTTTTTAGTTTAGTTACGGAGCTGCCAACATCTAAGAAAAAAAAAAGCTAAACCGGTTCGGAATACACCCACAATAGAAATCTAGGGAATAATTGAACAATTCCGATCGGAATCCATTCCAACTTTGTTCCATGACAGGTACCCTAATGGAAAAAAATCGTTGAAATTTTTGAAATAACTAAAATCTATCAAATTAATAAGAGTTTTAACAATTTCAGCGATTTATATACAATTGGACGATATGTACATAAGAAAGATTAAAAAACAATACCATAAGATTATATATAAAAAAAACGTAGAGCGCAAAAAAGAAGTGAATAGCATGGCGGCCACACGTGTATCAACTATGTAATGTCGCTTCTCTGTATATATAGGGTGCGTTCCACTTGACACCCACACGCTCGCGCAATCAATTTATCCTTAAGCGGGGAGCACAGACTTTTGCATAATGCATAAACCATATACATAAAGAATTTGATTGGTCCATTGACTCATGCATAAGAAAATGGACCAATGAAATTCCTTATGCACATGCTTTATGCGTTATGCAAAAGTCTGTGCTCCCCGCTCTATTATTTATCAAATGTTAGGGTCCACGCACAATAGGAGAAATATTAGGAACAGATATTAAATATAAGAATTTTAACCTGTCAAAGAGCGGACATTCCACAGTACACAGTTCTGATAGGTTAAAATTCTTATATTTAATATCTGTTCCTAATATTTCTCCAATTGTGCGCGGACCCTTAAATAAGGAAGAACGATGCAGCCGTAGGACTCTAGCCAATCTGGCGTCTCCTGAATTTCTAAACTGTTCTAAACCGCGAGCAACGCATCTATCGTGAAGTGCGTGATTCGTGCTCGTTTCTCCCCCTTATTACCCCTTCCCGTTCGTTAAATCACCGCTTCGCACAGATGGACGGACAGGCGGCGGCGCGGCGGCCATATTATCAGTGAGGTGTCAGTATTTTCCGAACGTGACGGGACTTTTGGGTGTGGATCGTGCGATTTCCTGTTTCGCGCCGGCTTAGTCGTGGGGTTAGTAGCACGAGTGTGAACGCCAGGCGGTCCGTCGTCGTGGATGCGGTGCGTCACACGTGTGTCACGGGATCCACGAGTGTGCAAGCAGGCTCAGGTTAATCAGGTAAGCGGCGCCTTCGACGTCGTCATGTACTTAGAAGCTACGTTTGTGATTCTCCTTCTCTGCCGTCATCGTCACGACACGAAAAAGAGCTCGAGGATCGAGCGATGAAACGGCCGAGTCGTCGTCGTCGGCGGTGGCGACGCCGAGATGTTCGTGGCATTGTTGTCGGTAACATCGATTATGCGGCGATATATTCCGGCTGCGCTCGTTCTGGGAAAAAAAAAAAAAAAACGCATGATTCAGAAACGCGTGACGAGGAGAGCAGCCGGAGCCAGAGTCGGTCAACCGAGGCGACTCGCGGGGTCGACCTCGTAACGACGCCGCGCCGGTTAGGTTGACGCAAAGTTACCTCTTCCTACGGTCTCGTACAGTGCGCGGTTATAATTCGTGATATATCTCTCTAGAGAAGGAACGAGGGAATCGAGGTTAGTTCGCCGGAAAACCGGTTCGATTGTACCGACATCGGCCAAGCTAACTGCGTTTAACTTAATTTTCTTTTCTCTCCGCTGTGTGCCACGTTTGCCAACGTCGATTCCACTTTGCCATGATTTGGGCGGGTTGATTCTTCGTGGGTCGTGTATTTGTACGCGCGTATATATTAATAGGTATTTATAAACGATCAATATCAATAATCAAGAGTGATTTCTAATTGTTTTATTATTTGACTTATAAAGGAACAATAAATTAAATTGAGTTCCACGAAACTCAATCGATTAGCAAAGGATAACTCACTGTGATTCCTTGTTTCTGTATTGTTGAAGTTGGAAAGTAATTATTTAAGAAATAGAAAAGTTGATGAACCAAAAGCGACTATTAATCGTCTAATTAATTTTCCTTTGCTCTATTAGAAACACTTTAATATTTTAATTAGAAATAAATAACAATAATAATAATCTTAATTATTAAAGAAACTAGAAATGATTCATTATTATATTAAAAGATATGGAATAATTCTTTTCTTTTATCAATGAAGTAAAGCGACTGCTGATACATTTTTTTCTTAATATATTAAAAATATAAGGAGACTAGAGATGTGATTTTAAAAAAAGTATTATATTTAGTATTAATTGTTAATAAATTAACGTTTAATATATATTTTTTAATGATTATATTTATATAATTTAATAATTGTATTTTTCCTGTCAGTTCAGAAATATAGGGGCATTAGAGATATGATTTATTATTATATTAAGAGATAGAACGATAAATTGATCAATCAATCAACTATTCTGATTACACCTGCATATTTTTCTTTTCCACCATAGGGTGTTCCAAACTTGCTAGCATAGTTATATTTGAGACAAATATTGTGATGTATTCGTAATATAAATATTTTGACGACTTTCCGTCAACGGTTTAGAAATAACAATAACATTCTTCAATTAATCTCAAGTGAACTGCAATGAAAGTTCGATCTTATTATTATTAAAAGCCTAAATAACAGAACTCTAGTTTAATTTCACGATTAAAATCCCAAGCGACAAAGCTTCTAGTTTCTATTTTGCGATAGAAAATCTAGTGTCAAAAATGACATCTCTAAGTTTACAGTCTGTTTTCGTAATATATAGTTATCTAACTATTAAAGATTATTAAGAAATTCATGAATTAATTTTACTGATGATATTTTGATAATCTTTAATCTTTAGGTAACCATATATTGTGAAAACGGGCCTGCTGATGAATTTGATTATTCCACACTATATATTGGATTAGTACACACTCTTTTGTGGAGGGGGGTCGCGAACGTGTATTACCCCTTCTCAGTGAGAAATGACAATGGAATCGACGTCGAATCGATGTCAATTCCATTATCATTTCTCACTAGGTTGAGGTTACGATGAAAAAGAATCAGCAACCAAATTTGCAAATAAAACTTTATCAAGCTTTGCTATTACAGCTCTCTTAAGGCCAGAATTAGACTACGCATTGAAGATTGAGATTATGGATTAAAGATTGAAGATTGTGCAATTACATTATATGATAGTAATACATATGATAGTAATACATTATATGAACTAAGGGTGAGCAAACGAAAATTTCAACTGAGCATTCGTGAGCAAACGATGAGCAAACGAACGCATGAAGAAAAAAAATTGATTTTTTAATAT